TATATATATATATATATATATATATAGAGAGAGAGAGAGAGGCATGTTTAAATGAAAACCGTGCAATTCTTAAAAACCGTGTAAACTAATTTCGACCAATAGGAAAATTCTATTTTTTTTCTTATTAAATTTAATCATTAAGGGTATATTCTTCATTTGCTTTGTTTACTATTAAATATGGAAGTTATTAATAAATCTTAATTAAGATAAGATAATAAAAAAAAAGAATAAATGATAACATTTAAATATTTAATTAAATTATAATATTAAAAATTGAATTTTCTTATATTGTGTCTCGGTTTATTATTGCCAAGATTTATGAAAATCGTAATTTACTAGATTAATAAATCCATGAAATCGGTAATTGAATAAAAAAAATTCATGAAACCGGTTTCATACATGGTGAAATTGATGCATGCAGTAAGTGAAAATGATTATGAAATAGGTGCATGATGATATGGGTGCGTGAAAGAAGTGAAACCATTTCAAAAAAGATAAGAAAAACATGTGTAATTAACGAAAAGTGAAACAATTTCATTATCAATAGCGTGAAATGACAAATGACTCATCAAACCATGCTGACCAATGAAATGAGTGATTGAAGAAACTAAAACCATTTCATGGTTTCTAAGAAAATTTTTTGTAATTAGTGAACAATGAAATAATTTCATTATCAAAATGAAACGGATTCATCTACTAATAACATGAAAATGACAAAATTTGATGAGAATTATGTTGATTAGTGTATTGATGAAACTGTGAAACCATTTCGTTCGTTCATGTAATGTAATACAATTTTTTTAATTTCTATTCAAAAGGATTCATTATATAGATTTGATTATGATGTGTTTTATTTATATTTTTGATCTATTTTAATGATAGATGTTATTTTTTTTTAAATATGTGAACGTAAAAATAATATATTACATTACAAAATAATATACGGTGAAATCATTTCATTCATTAAATGTAATAGTTAAAAATGTTGTTTCCTTATTCAAAATGGGGCTGATTAAGGAAACTGATGATTCTACCCAATTTATTGATATAGGCGGTTTTACAATTTTGCGCTTTTTCCAATTAAAATATATTTTTTTTATTTTTATTTTTTAACTATAAACTAAACTAGTTTTGACCATTGATCAAGAAAATGGATGGATGAGATTGGTTTATATGGTTTACACAAATGAAGGCAGTTTTCATTTGATCCCTCCTATATATATATATATATATATATATATATATAGAGAGAGAGAGAGAGAGAGAGTTTGTTTCAAATACAACTCATCGCATTTGTACAACCAATGCAACCTAATAAATTGAGATATTTATGGAAATAATGAGAGTTCATTTATTATGATTTGAATATTTATGGAAGATGAATATGATCCATTAATTATGGTCAATACTTTATATTATGAAACAATCAAAACTTCTATAAAATCACATATTAATCAAATGAAATAGACGGTTAAGATTGAGTTGCATTGGTTGTACAAATATAAATGGTTGTATAATAACCAATATATATATATATATATATATATATATCTATACTATATTATAATGCATTTGGCTAAAACTCTTAAAAACTCTTAAACTCTTAAAACTCTTAAACCCGTTCATCCCTATCCAATTTCATCCCATA